GAGTTAGGAGGACACGATGTGACTGGGAGTAAAATATGACATTGGAAGAGGAGAGAAGAGCGAAGGCGGAGAGGGAGGAGAGAACAGCTGGGAGCAAAATGAACCACACACAAATGACCGGTGATGGCTCTGCAGGATATGATTCTCCACTTCTGAAGAACAGAAGCTCACCCTTTTTCCTTAATTATCAATATACATTTCATAGATGTTCAAAATATTCCCAATTTTCRATTGAGAAATGTTATTCTGGAATTGTTTTTTTGCGATTTATAAACAGTTTTTTGCAGACTGGTGAACCCCTGCTCATCTTTACTTTGCAAAGATTCTCTATAACGTTTATTTTTTTTTATCAGGACCCGTTGCCAACTAACGTGTTAGTTTAAAAATATGGTCCTTTAGGTTTTTATTCCTACCACTTACTTTTAGACGTTTGTTGACCAAATTATTTTAAATGTGTTGCTGCCAAATAGCATACATGTCAGCTTGGGGTGCAACGATACAAAAAATTCACGATTCAGTGTGACACTTTAGTGTCACTGTTCAAAATTTTCTATACAAAAAAGACAAATATCTATGCCCTTCTTAATTCGTAATTATTTTTAATTAACTGTTAACATTTGATCAACCTCAAAAGCACAGTTTTTAAATTACCTTTTGGTGAAACTCAGTGGATCTGGACCCGACAATGCAGCCTAGGTGAAGTAGTCGAACACAGATCCACTGAGCCTTCAACACAGAAGACAAGTTGATAAAATAAATTTTACAAATCTGCGATGTTCGATACATAGTGTGTATTGAACCTAAAGCACTGTATTGAACGGTTCAATACAGATACATGTATTGTTGCACCCCAAATGTCAACCCCTTCAGATGTTTACCTGTTTAATGAGCCTCAAAAATCCATAATTTTCGCAAAAAATCCGGGGTGTGTGCGCATGTAGAGGGGGTATGTCTAGTGGCAGAGCAGGTTGGAAGATGGTCATTTGTTGTTATTTATTAATGTCCTATATTCTCTGACATGTTGAATAAATTTGAAACTGAGATTTTGAAAAAATCCGTAACTATAAATAAAATCTGTGGGATTATACYTCAATATACCTGCAAAATGAGGTAAAATCCATGTAAATTACAGACATTCCGTACAACTTGAAATAGTTCAAATTTCTGTAATTTTCTTCCTAAATATTATAAATMTATTAGTTTTATAATGTGATACAGTACGGTGCTCGTCCAGTGATATTGGATAAAACAAGAATATATGGCTGATCAAAATTATCTTGTGGCCATGCATTACTATTCATTAATTCATCGAACTTATTTCCTTCTTAAAAACTAAATTTATATCCAGTAAAAAAATAAATCATGGTGTGGTTAAAAAGGGTGCAGAGTGAAGAATTTTTTTTATTATCTTATGGCCATGAGATAAATAACTCAGTAAGTAACTCGGTAAGTCTATTTAACACCAAATGACGAAAACAAAACTTATGCATCATTGTATAGCGTGCTCATAATATTAGCTGATGGATTGGTTGGACACAAACTAAAATATATTTGACCTAATTTATATCTAATTATAGCACTTACAGGATTCAGATGGCCCAGATTAATACAGTTCTGTTGAAATAAGCTATTAAGAGTGAGAAACTGAGGTAAAATGACCAAGATTAACACTCTTGTTAACATTTGTGCCCCTGAGCCTGAGTCCCTCCTAGTTAATTAAAAGAGACCTCAGATAAGTCCTGGCTAATAGTCTGCCCCRGAGCTCAACTTCCTCCTCACTGTCTCCTTCAACCAACTGTCCTTTTCATTACTGAGAGGCAAAATTTGGACATTTATTTAATACTTAAACTTTTCTCTCCTCCTGCAAATCCGTCATTATTCATATATTCATCAGTTCAAGAAATAAAAAAAGGATAATCCTTTTTCAAACCGGCTTCTTTTGATTGGGTAACATCACCTAAAGCCAAATGTAAAGCTCCGTTTCTAGGTCGTCTCACTTCTTTTTGCACATCAAACTCATTAACAAAAATTTTTCAGCGTCTGATCGACTTATCGTCGGTCTGGTCAGCGGACACACTCTACTACGGAGCACAAAGGGGGAAAGTTGAAAAAGCGAGAGGGGATCAATGAGCTCAGAAATGTTTGTGAAGATGAGTGGAAGGACAGCGCTCAGGTGACAGCTTCCCTATAGAGCTGCCAATCATGTGCCTGGCACCTGCTGACTCTGAAGAAGACACCTCTCCGACCAGCTGGAAACTTATTGATCTAAAGTCTCAGATTCCTTCTTCACTATTCTTTGACTGTCTTGTTTGCCTCTTCTGCTTATTCACCTGTCAGCCTGCCAARTAGCTTTATATTCTGATCAACTTTCTTTAAAGTGCCTGTGACATCTAATTTTTGACYTAAACATGAACGCATTTTTGGAAAGATAACATTGATAAAATATTGCAAAACACATTTCATGTCGCTGAGATGTTTGCATGTGAAGAAACAGGAAGTGATGTCAAAGGGCAATGTCTGCATGTAAACAAAGCATTTCTACAACTCTAACAACACAGACTGTAGAGAAGAATTTGATGTTTCTTCACATTATTTTGAGTCTTTATCAAAGAAAGCTGAAGAAGAGTTAAAGTTTAAATGATATTGTTTTAATAAACAAAGACCAAAGATTTTATTTTATTAATGAGATCCCCTTTGATGTCACTTCCTGTTTTACTTTGGCTGAGACAAATTCAAAAGAAAATAGGCCAGTTATGTGACAAAATGGGCCAAATCATATGTATTTAGGCAATTTTCTTAAGTATAAAGATGTTTTCTTTGACTTTTTGTATGTGAAGTATATGCATGTCGCAGGCACTTTAAATCAAACACACAGCAAACAGTTCTGATATCTCATCCAAAAAAATGTAACAACATTGTTGTGGAAACATTCCACCAGGGCAGAGATGCGGGAAATAAAGTTTACTCATATCAGTCCACCTGCATTGTGGCCTTGGTCCGAGTGGGCTCTGCGACAACGCCAACTGTTATGGCAATATTTATTTAACAAAGACAGAAATAAATTAAATAATAATAATATAAATTGGACACTAAACTCTTCTGTTTTACATTTAAACCCTTCAAATGGGGGTGCCGCATAAGATCAGTGGAAAAGATCGGCTTCTCTTCCTCCACAAAGGTCTAAAATCATGTGACCTTATAACATCTGACACACCTCCTCCAGCTCCTAGACTGGTCTATTCTAGTTTGATACAGGGGTTTACGACTATATAGCTGCGCAGAAACTTTTTACTCACAAATGAATTGAAAGATGTCAACAAGGGAAGACTTGTCCATCCCYTCGTACATGTTYGAGCCAGAGTCTGACCCAGAGCCAGAGGAGAATGAAGACCACCAAATGGTTAGTCCAGAGCTTCCAGTTCCATCAAGTAATTTGACGTAATAGTTCAGAAAACGACACAGAAAATAGAGAAGACGATGTCGACGCAGCACCAGTAGAAACTAAATTAAAAATTTTCTGCACTCCTAGAGACTTCAAGTGCCAAATTAAAATTTATTTCACGGTTWAAAAAATTAGTTCAGAATTTGGTTGATATCTTTCAGAACATAAAGATATTTGGCTCTTATTTTTCACCCCATTCATTTTCTCTATTTTTTATTATGTTTTCTGAACATAAAATAAGGTCTGGATTTACCAGCTACAGTTTGGTGGTCTTCATTCTCCTCTGGTTCTGGGTCAGACTCTGGCTCCAACATGTAAGGCTGGATGGACAAGTCTTCTATTGCTGGGATCTTTTAAATCATTTGTAAATAAAACGTTTTTGATTTAAATGTAAAAAAAATAGGATTTAAAAGCATTTGTCTACGATTTGTTCACAAAAAAAAAAATGATTTTTTCTTACTTTAAAAGTATTTTGAACCTGGAGTTATGAAGCTATAAACATAAGACTTGTTCAATCAGCAGAGAATTATAATGGACTTGTTAACGTGTGTGCGGGTTTCTGAGTTGAGTTAAAAGATCAAATAAAAAGAGAGAAAATTCCAAAAATATTTTAAAGTCCCTTTCACCTCTGAAACCCAGAATGTCTGAAAACTCCTGGTTCATAACTCTGCCAACGTGCACGCTGATACTGGGAGTTCGRGGAGCTGGGTGGGCACAGGGAGGATGTTTGATAGCTTCCTCCAGAGCTGTCCGCAGTGTGTGTCTGTCCATGTGGCTTCAGGGAGCTGTCTGCGCGGAGCTGATTGCAGCGTCTCTCATTATGCGGCCGCTGGCTGTAATGGAGTGTGACAGCAACGCGCTGCGCTCTGGATCTCTGTCCTTACAGCCTGCAAAGCCAATTAAACACATTCTGCCCTTCTCTCCTTCCTGTCAAGCCCCACTTTACTCTCAATCACTCCATGCTCCCGCGCTGGCCCCAGCTCCCCTGTCCGGCTCCCTCCTTCTTTGAATCGACTCTCGGCATTTGCAGTCTCGCTCTTTCCAACCCTACCGGCAGCACATCTCCGAGCTCAATAACTAGTCGTTCTTTGGCTTCTGGCTCTCATTTCCTGACATCTACATTACCACTCAGAACTCCACTTGTGTGCGCCCTCCCCGCCCTGCACACCTCAGCATTCCCCACGTTAACTTCAAGCCTGTCTCCGAGTGGTTTTTCAGTAAAGTATGGCTCCTTTCAGGGGGGGAAATAAGAAGTGCTGGCCTGCAGGGAGGGAAAACCTCTGATGGCAGCTTCTCTCTGCGCTACCACACACACCGTATGAGGAAAAAAAGACGGGAGCAGAGGAGGAGAGCACTACTTGGGTCCTCAAGACCCAGAGCAGTCACAGCCACTTAGGAGGAAAAATGCCCTGCAGCACCAAAAACACACATAGTTCATTTATCACTCCCTCATAGTGCCCTAAAACCTGCACACACACACACACAAACGCAGCGTGTTTGTGTGTTCACTACCAGCACTGCACTCCTGCTTTTTAAGTGGTTAAAATCATATCCTCACAGTCCAGTCTGCAACATGGGTGAAAAGCTCGTCTGACATCTTTCCTCCCTCGGTAAAGTGCCCCGACAGCGCCGGATCGTGCAGCTGCAATAAGCAGAATTCACTCCCTTTCCAGGAAGCATGTCGATGAGTGTGCGCACGTCCGCTGCAGAGAAGTGAGTTAGGACAAAGGCAGGAGAAGAGAGCGACGGTTCTGTACCTGTTTTGAACCAGCCATCGTCAGTGAAAGACTCTCTGGTCTCCTGAGGTTTGTTCCAGTACTCTTTGAACACAGACTGACCTCGGACCAGCAGCTCCCCTTCTTTACCCTCCAGACCTGGACGGACCTGTAAGATATTTAACAAGAGGTGAAAAAAAATAAAAAAACAGCAAATCAGATGAAATATTAACTCTTGCTCAGGTTATTGATTCTTTCCAGGAAGCTTTTTGAAGTTACGCAGAACTCATTATTACAACTGAAGCATATTCATGCAGATAAGACCAAACGTTTGCTGTTCTCTAAATCCAGAAAACAAATGCAAACGACCGCAGTGACCACTCTGGACGGGTCAGAAGTATAAATACCTCAGTGTTTTGATTGATGACTCCCTCACTTTTATCCCCCTTGTAAACTTGTAAAGAAGTTGAGGTTAAAGCTGGGTTTTTGTTTATGAAAAAAAAGTTTTTGTTTTTTCTTTTATTGTGAAAGAACAACTTGTAGCTGCAACATTTTTTATAGCTGTACTGGATTGTTAAGAATGTGAAGAAATTACCTCAATAAATCCAACAAAAACTAAATATACTTTTTTAAGTGTAAAATAACTATTCAAGGTCACTTAAGTTATGCTGGATCCAGGCGCTGCTGGATGGACTGCTTGTATCGGAMTGCTAATATTGGAAATTTTAGATGCAGGCCAATATAATCCAATATTCATTTTTTTGGCTAAWATTGGACCGATATCCGATATTCGATATCAGATCGGGACACTCCTACTTAATATCTTTGAGAACTTTTAAATTGACATTAAGGACAACTGTTCTTAAAACCTTTATGTGTACATGTTTTTCTTAGTTTTTTWAAAATGTTTTTATGATTCTTATTTCCTTTTAGTAATTTAATGTGTTAATATGTAATTAAACTGTACGTTCTGCTGCCTATCTTGGCCTTTAATAAGAGATTTTTAATCCCAATGCAATTTTTCCTGTTAAAATATAAGTTTAATAATGATTAAAAAATACAAAGTTTAAAAGGACCATAGTTTAGTCTAAAAAAAGCTATATGATTAATTATTAAGTTCAATAATTTATTGTTTTGTTTACAAATGTTTTTCATACAGACTATTCTTCCTACAAACAGAGGGAGAATAAACCAAATTTATATTACTTATCACCCCTTTTTTATCTTTGTTAAACCAATTATTTTTTTTAAACATGAAGCACGTAGCCAGCCTAATGAAAAAGTTTTTCAGTGAGCAAGGTTATAACAGTCTAGGCTTTTTCATTATAATTTGGTTTTATTTCGTTGTCTTTCTTTTAATTCAGTTAGTTTTAATTAAATTTTAGAGTGGATTTGCTAGTTTTTATTAGTTATAATTTAGTTTTTAATGTTTAGTTTTAGTTTATTTTAGTTTTCTAGTTCTAGTTTTTTTATGGTTTGAATAAAKATATTTGCCAACGCATCCTCCAGGTTGATTTGATTTGATTTGATTTATTGATTCAACAGGAAAAGATTACTAAAAATCAAGCCTGACTCAGCATAATTGCTGTTTTACAGCAGGTTCCTGTTCTGCAGCACATAAAACACTCAGAATTACAGCATCACAATCACATCATTATTATAACACCATAGACACAAAGACAAACAAGCATACCAAATTTCTGGAAGGCAGCATTTGCAAAATAAGACGTCTAAATATGAGCACAACAAAAAGTGTCCAGCAAATGGCAGACAAGATTCTTCTTAAAGGGCTGTAGTTTTGAAATGGACTTTATGTTTTGAGGAATGTCATTCCATGCTTTAGTATAAACATAGAAGAAAGACCTCTGGCCGTAACAGTTTTTAAAAGTTGGTAATATCAGTTGTCCTTTTGTAACAGATCTAGTTGAATGACCACTTCCAGAATTTGATTTGGGCAGCAATGCAGAGAGAGTTCCATAATTGGCACCATGGAAGATCTGAAAATATAAATTAATACCACTACACAAAACATAATTCTGAAAAGTCAAGGCATCAGACAATGAAAGAACTGTACAGTGATGAGTCCAACCAGGAAGTTTTTTATGAATTTTGTAGGCCCTGTTGTAGAGCCTAACTATGGGTTCTAAGATTTCATTTGTTGTAAGAGACCAAACAGGTAAACAGTACGACATGGTTGAGAGTATAATGGCATGAAGATAGATATTTGAAACAGAAGATGTCAGATTGYATCTAATTTTTGAATAAACGTTTAATTTCTGTTTCAACTTGGTGGTTAAGACTTGTACATGATCACGATAAGTCAAATGAGAATCCAAAGTAATTCCAAGATATTTGTAGGTAGTGACAATATCAAGGGGTTTGTTTAAAAAAGGGAGTTGATTTGTTATATTGAAATGTCTCCTGGGTTGAGGCGTTCCTGTGAGTTCACTAACCAGCAGCTATTTGGTCGCCAGTGAAAGCAGTCTATTATAACAACAGCTTCCTAAAATAATCATCTAATGCAGTTTTGCCAACAAAAGTACTTAGGAGACTATTTTAGGAGGGGGACAGTAAACTGGCTGGGCTGTTGCTTGTTTTTCACTGGAGCTACTGAGAGAAGCTAGCTTGTCAGGATACTCAGTTAGCCATCTTGTGCTAGCTAACCAGAGAGCGTTGACAGAGAGGAGAAGGTAGAAATGACTCAGCCTGTAACTGAAAATATGGATGGAGGACAACAGAGCTGCTTCATGGAAGAAGAACCTCAGCTTAGCCTGTTAGCTTTAGCATTAGTACCGATGCCATCACCATATATAGCTCGCTCACACCGAGGACCTATCCATGTCATCATTTACCCAGAATTCTTTGTGTGTAAATAAAACGGCTCCGTCCGTGTTAAATATATTAAAAAAAAATATAATAAAATAAAAAAAAATATATATATATATATATATATATACACATATACATATATATACTGTATATATATACTGTATAAAGGTGAGTTGTGCCAATTTATGTTTGTATCGAACAAGTAGCCCTTCGTGTTACTTGGTARCCCAAAAGTAGCTCTCAGTCTCAAAAAGTTTGGTGACTCCTGTTCTACTGCTTCTTATTCRTCCATCAAAAACACTAACAAACAGCAGCAGATAAATACACTGGTAATCTTGTTCAATACTGTGGATAAAAACATGGTTTCTGCAGGATAACTTTTGCTTCATAGCTATCTTTGTGTTCTATTTTTTAATATTTACAACATTTCTAGATTGCCTCCTCTGCTTGAGGATGAATCGTCCTCTTATATTGTTGTTTATTTATTGATTACCCAAGTATTTRTGTGATTTCCCTCCACAATACTGGTGTTGATTTTGTTGTTCATCACAATTCGAACATCCACACCAGGAAGAGGCACTCCCACCGATCCTGTCGAGATTTAAAAACACACACACAAAAAGGAACATTATTAGTCGAAGCGAGCACGATGTTTATTGTGTTGGATTTTGACTCCCTCGCAGAAACTGAAAACACTTACACAACAAAAGGCAATTACTAACAAAGTGAGCACTGACAACCTTAAGTTAAGCATTTTTCAAGTGAAGCTGGCAGCCTGCTCCTTCAAGATGGCATTAACTTCCATCCTCTGGGCATAACTGGTCACTGAGTGGTTTGCTGAGCTCGTAAATCTGGAAACAATTTGTCTCAGTCAGCTTGCTTTGCTAGTAATGGGAATTTCTGGGCGGAGAATTGATGCAGCGTCTAAAAAACCCCACCTAAAATAATACAACTCTGAACATTTTTTAAAAATTTTGATCTGCACTTATTTCATGCAGCTTTCAGAAATAACAAGCAACTGACTGTACATTACAATTCAGCCAGTCTTTCAGTCTTAACTACTGCTGAGAGCTTGACAGGCTTTCACTAAAACACAACTGCATAAAATGTTCTAAGGTGACAAGTTATCAAAAGCGATAAAAACGCCGTGTCAAAAACTGAGTGCCCGTAACTCTGAGTTGCAGACATCATTTAATTATTAATAAAGTGTGTAAAAAAATGCATAAAATAGTAAATTCCCACGACATCACCTGCCTTCATCTCTGTGAACAAATGTGACCGTAAGAGTTAAGCAAATATAGCAACGGGTGCACAGGGCATGCAAACGAAGGGTCTCAGGGGTCCTCACCGTGCACGTGTGTAGGTGAGTGTGCACGTGTCAGCCTTAAGGCTATGATGCCATTTTAGAGGCTTAACGCTCTCCAAATGAAGGGCTGGTTGGGTTGTGATTACAGAATGAGTGTCTCACTCCATATTGATCTAATCAGTTCGAGTCCTGAATGAGGGACTGGGGGGGTGAAGAGATCAATATGAGAACCAAGTGAGCACCAAAGTAACAAGGCTAATTCTCAGTGGATCAAAAAGTTTAAAATTATAAGGTCAGACGAGCTGAATCTTGCCAGGTTTTTAATGCCAGCTGCATTAAATGCTGCGGCAAACAGTGCAAAGAAATGTTAATATAGATCTACAAAGAAATGTGGTTCTAGTGAAGACTAGCTCAACTCCAACAATCAGACCTTCTGGGTTTGGTTTTATTTTATAAATAAAGAATAATATGCTGAAGTCTTTGGTAGTCTTTCATCACTTGAGCATGTCGCATCAGTTTGCAAAACTCAGTGAAGCTGTCAAAAAGATGCTCAGTTAATCAGACCAAGTACTGGTTTAGTTCATTAAATGATGGAAACTGAGAACTTCAGGCAAACATTAACGTTCAAAGCAAGTAACAAAAAACCTCCAGGAAATCTTCAAAACACGTTTTGTGACAGAGCAGGGAGCTAAAAACTAAGAGGAGAGTTAAACACTTTAAAAAGGCTGTGTTTACAAGGAAAAGTATGTGTGTATCTGTGTGGGATTTATGGAAAGGGTTACATGTTGAACTGAAACAATGTAAAATAAAAAAAAATCTATTTTGGGGTTTTTAAATGGTGGAATGTTGATGCTATTTAGGGATGTAGTGAAACCCCAGGATGTTAAATAAGCTATTATTGTTAACGTCTGTTGTAATTGAGATATCTACGTATATAAAGTAAGAAGACTTAGCAAAAATAACAATCAGATTTATACTGATAAACTGAAAAGGGAAAAAGAAGTAGGGAAAAAATAAGTTTAATTTCAATTTACTCCTTTTCATACAGACAGCCTTGTAAGTTGGCCAAAATGTATTTTTCATGTACGTGTACATAAATACTTATTTTGTTGTTTTATGTCTGTTTTGAATTAAAGATGTTTTCTATTCTATTTGTGATATTTTAATGTTAACAATCAGTGAAAGCCAAGGTCACTCCTTTAAATAAAGATGAATTTCAGTATTTGGTAACTGTGTAAAAACTTTAACCATTATTATTCTTCTGTATGTGTTTTTTTGGCACATGCGTCATTCCACAATTTTTGTGGTATTTCAGCAATTTATATATCAAAAACATTCAGCTCTTTCAGGACATTCTGGTTGTGACCTTTGGTATTTCAGCTATTTATAGTTTTATTTAACTTTTTCTGCCATTTTATTTTTTCTTATTAAAAGTGAATGCAGCTGTCTTCAACATCTTTAAAAGACTTTTAAAATGTTTATAGATCTTTACTTTGCCTTTTGAAATGTTTTATTTTTTGCCTTTTCAAATACTATTTTTAGCTCTTTTTGTTAAACGGAGGCTAATTTAGCTAAAATCACATTTTAATGGTCATTTCTAATCAATTTAGCAAAGACACTCCTGCAGTTTCTGCTGTTACAGCTTTTTAAGCTACTTTACAACCATTTTCAAATGATTTTTAGCAGTTTTGATGCTAAATGGCCTTTTTCTAATATTTATAATTTTAAGCTTCTTATGGCTTAATTCAGCAAACATTTGCTATTTATTTTTTGCTAAAATATATTTATAATTATCTGCTAACTTTAGATCTATTTCTGCTCTGTTCGGCTGTTTTTTAAAACACATTTAGGCTTTTACTGATTTTTCACTTTTGTTTTCCTACTTTCACCAAAAGTCAGCTGTTCAAACTCTCATTAACAGTTTTGCTATTAAACCTTTTTGTTTGAATTCAGCAGCTTTCAYCAAAAATCTATCTGCATCAAGCATTTTTCTCGCAGGAAATGCACATTCTCTAGTATTTCTCTTGTTTTCTGTTTGTGTCCACATCATTACAGCCATCTGACTAAAACAGAAAAAGCTAAATAAAAGCAGAATTAGGATACAGAACAAACCTGTTATATAGTGAAAACTTTCCATCTCCCAGTCTTTTAATCTTCTGATTGTGGTCAAGAGGCAGAGCGACAAGCCCTCTTTCAATTCTTCTCTCCATGGAGCAAAAAGCTGCTCTTCGCAAAATGACAAAAACAACCTCCTCTTCCTCAATGACAGTCTCTAAAATCCACTCACACTTTGACTCCTATTTCTCATATTTCCTTGAATTTATTATTATTTTTTTTTTGTTCTCACATCAGAAGCTTGACAACTTCTAAAGCCTTGTAAAATTTTGTTTTGATTRGGGAAGATTAAGTGTCACTTTGAAGAGTTCAGGCAGAAGTCAAACCACACACGCTGGATGGAAAATAACGTCTCTGCTAAGTCTGGAGGTCTCAGATTCTTCTACAATCTCAAAAGTACAAAAAAAAAATACAACCTAAAAGTAGGACAAAAAAAGAGAATCAAAAAAGATGAAGGGYGCAGCAGAGTGAGATAATATGGAAGATGGATAGAACCAGCACGAGCTAATCTCACATGTTTACATCTCAGCGASGGCAATATGACCTAGAAAGCATTACTATTGTTAATATACTTCAAAGTGGTAAAGTACGCAGCAAAATTAGGCCAGTTAGATGCTCTAAATATGTGGAAATTCATTTATAAAATTCTTGTCAATAAAGTGTTTTATGTTGTCCATGTATTTGGTGGCGAGGCGTGGGGGTGGGGGGGTGAAAACAGGTGCGCGTCTGAAGAGCGGGAAAAAGACGACTCCAGTACACTACTCCACTAAGAGTGCTTCCTGCGTTGCTATTGATCCATTTTAACCTACTTAAAGACAAGACAGGAACACATTGACTCAAACAAGCTGATGCCTGCATGCACACCAACGTACACAACTCTTCTACAACCGCTGCAGAGGAAACATCAATAAAACCACAGACTTCTTAAAGCCATTCTTAAAAACCACCAGAGAGGAATCAAACAGACTGTGCTGTACTCCCCCCCACAAACAAATAAACAAAACAACACCCAAACAAGACAACTGAGGATACCCCAATTCTCTTGCAAGCTAATTATCTTTACCTGCACACGGAGGTGTTGGCTGGGGATGGAGACAGTGAGGAGGGAGAGGAAGAAGAGATGACAGACGAAGACAAGAAAAAAACCTTGCACAAGTCTGACCTCATTTTTAGATATTGCTTTTTGTGCGTGTGTGTGTGTGTGTGTGTGTGTGTGTGTGTGTGTGTGAGGGAGGGGAGGTTGGGATTGTGGGATTTTACCTGACATGGCAACAGAGAAAACTTCATGATAAATAAAACAGTCTAAATAGTCCAGCTCCATTAAACATGASAGCTGTAGTGTTCAAAAATAACAAATGCAGCTTCTGATTCGTTATGAAATTAAGACGACAAACTTACAATTCATAGGATTTATACATGAAGTTATCAAAGGGAGGAAAAAGGTTCCTAAAATTATTCATGAGCAACAGCCACCGCTCTACAATTAGGGGTGGGTAAAATAATACATTTAGCAATGCACTGCAATTAACGTTTTTGCAATTCAATATTGATTCAGAAAATCATCTGAACTGATTCGTTCCCCTGACCGGTTTGCGCTTCGGTCGGGAGCGATCCGGATCGACTTTTGGACGGTCGGTGATAATCGCAGGGCGCATTGGTCAAAACAAAACTGCTGTAACAAAATGTATAAATGCAAACTCCAGATAAAGTGGCCAAAAAACAAGGAAACTGTGGCCTGGCTGCAGTCTGACTACAGTCAGAGAGGTGGAGGATTCTGCCTTTGGGGAAGAAAAGAGCCAAAACGGTCGACGTGTGTAAAAGTAAGCTAGTGTTGCGCTAACAGCTGTTTAGCTGCRGCAGGAGCACACACAGCCCGTCTCTATCGGGTACTTTAGCTCTTGAATAAAACTGTTAACACAGAAAGACGTAAACTTGAATGACCAGGACAAAAGCCAAGGTGTATTTACGTTTATGTTTGACGTCTGTTTTCTTCCTCCCCCTAAAATCAAAGCTCATTATTTTCAGATAGTTAACGTGAAAATCTGCAATTTATAATACTTTATATTTATAATATAATGTGAGGTGGTGATATATGTTCTGTGATCCCTCCTGGCTGCAGYATTACAGATTTTTACAGAGAGAATGTTGATGATGACACAGCTAGTTAAACGAGTTAAGCACAAAATGAATCCACAAACTATGGAAGCCTGTAAGGACTCTACACGCCCCTGCAATAAAATTAATTTAGGCTCAGGCTCTGATGTAGGGAAGCTAATACCCCACTGCCCATTCATTCTGTCATCTAAAGTGTGGATTTTTGAACGGATTCTCACAGATTGGCAAGAGTAAAAATATGTTATGATTTCATTCCTATAACTTATTGTTTGTTTCTTATTGAGGATCCACATTAGCTGGGCCTTACACCCAGCTACTCTTCCTGGGGTCCATCATTAAAAATACATAATACAACAAATAATAATACAACAAATAATATGACAGATAACAATAATAAAAATGCATATTAATTCAATTATTAATTACAGTTCATATATAAAAATTATACATTATAAGAAAAAATACAATAAGTAACCATTTTATTTTATA